ACTTGGCAATAATTTTTCATAAATATTTGTTATTTTAAATTGAGATATGATTCACATGCCACAGAATTCACCCTTAAGTGTATAATTAAGTTTGTTGGGTTTTTTTTTTTTTTTTAGTATTTTCAGGTTGTGCAACCAGCATGACAACCTAATTCCAGAACATTTTCACCACCCCAAAAGAAACCTCTTACCTATAAATAACTATTCCCTATTCCCACTCTCCCCTGTCCCTGGCAACCGCTAATCTTCTTTCTGTGTCTGTGGATTTGCCTACTCTGGACGTCTTATAGAAATGGACTCATATAGCATGTAGTCTGGATTCTTTCACTCAGCTTGTTTTCAAAGTTCATCCATGTTGTAGCATCTATCAATATCTTATTCCTTTTTATGGCTGAGTAATAGAGATATATAGCTCAGTTTGTTTATCCATTCATCAGTTGATGGACATTTGGGGTTATTCCCACTCTTTTGGCTATTACAAGTAATGTTGCTATGAACATTCATGTACAAGTTTTTGTGTGAACATATGTTTTCAGTTCTTTTGGATACATAGCTAGGTGTGGAATTGCTGGGTTATATACTTCTATATTTAACTTTTTTGAGAAACTCATGCAGTATCTTAATGTGATACTGTGTTGTGATATGGCTGGTACTGGTTCATCCCATAAAAATATTTCTACCAATACCAAAAAGTTTTCTATAAGCAACCAGGAGTAACATCCCATTCCTTTCCCAATTGCTGTGTGGTCTGTCACTCTAAAATTAAAAGAAACTAGACTTATCTAACACAAGCGGTTTCCTGGTAGTTCATGCTTTTCTGGGTGCCTTCAAACTAAGTGGGAACATATCTGAGAATTGTCATGCTTTGGAGGGTGCGTTGGTGGGGACACTGAGAATGAAGGACAGCTGCTAAAGGCATGGCCTCTTGGGCAGCTTTTGTCATGTTCCAGGCACCAATCAATCAGGTCCAATATCTAGATGTTTTCAGTGGAATGAGAGACTGTGAGTCTCTAGATCAAGAACTGGCAAACTGTAGCCCATGAGCCAAATCCAGCCACCTGATCTCCTACAACCTGAGAGGTAAGAACGATATTTACATGTTTAATAGATACATTTTAAATAGCTATATAAATATCTACCTAAGATCCTCAATTTGCCTATTGTCTCACAAAGTCTAAAGTATTCCCTAAAAGTTTGCAATCCCTGCTCTAGATGATACTGATGCAAATTAAATTATTTTAAGGCCAACAAATAAAGCAGAACACTAAAAGTTATTAATTTATCACTAGAAATATCCCTTACCAGCTGGGTACAGTGGCTCACGCCTGTAATCCCAACACCTTGGGAGGCCGAGGTGGGCGGATCACTTGAGGTCAGGTGTGGCCAACCAGCCTGGCCAACATGGTGAAACCCTGTCTCTACTAAAAATACAAAAACTAGCTGGGCAGTAGTGGCGCACACCTGTAATCCCAGCTACTTGGGAGGCTGAGGCAGGAGAATTGCTTGAGCCTGGGAGGCAGAGGTTGTGGTGAGCTGAGATCGTGCCACTGCACCCCATTATTCATAATAGCCAAGAGAGCGGGAACAACCCCAAATGTCCATCAACTGATGAATGGATAAACAAACTGAGATATATATCTCTATACAATGTGGGAGTATTACTCAGCCATAAAAAGGAATAAGATACTGATATATGCTACAACACGGATGAACTTTGAAAAGACGCTGGAAAAAAAAAAAAGATATCCTTTACCAAAGACTAGAGAACACTTAGCACAGGATGTCAAGTTACCTAGAAAGTGACTAAGAAGACTGGTAAATATACAGAATCAAATTAGGAAAAGCAGTGTGTACACATTGGACAGGGATGGTGAATTGCGTTACCGAAACTCTGGCAAAATCCATAAAATAGTCATCCCTCCCAAAAGAAAGCACCTCACTAGCAACTTGGTTAGTTTCTCTCTATCTATAATGTTTTCTCTGGAGAGTGCTACGTTTGACACATTAATGTATTTTACTTTACTTAATCCATTGCCTCCATCCTCATCTCTTTCCTGCTTATTCAAAACAATTGTTCTTTTTCTCTTACCAAGTGTCGAGAGCAAATCCTTATTCCCTTGGGCTTGTAGACTACTGTTTCCTCCTATTATGAGCTAAAAGTTGCACAGTGCTTGGAGCTCAAGGTATGCATTATTATTATTGCTCTTGTAATATATCAATATTAAACATACCAACTGGTAATTACTGTACACCCCCTGTTTAATCACTTTTAAAGGGAGAAGATAACACTTGTTATTGCTAACCTAAATGTCTTCTCTAGTTCTAGTAGCTTCTCAAAAGTAATGGCAGTGGACTACTATGACATGCCTCACTCCTTCAATTTCACTCCAAGATATATCATGCTCAAACGATCTTAGCATCTTCTGTTTTTCTAAAGAATCACAACTATCAGTTTCTGTTTGACCTTCAAATCTTTCAGCACAATAAGAAATTAATCTGTTTGCATTTGATCCCTTCTGTAAATATGAAAATGAAGATGCTAAAAGCTGCTTTTCCTCAGACTTCTCTGACTAACTTTTCCTTCCTTTCTGTTCCATGTAAGGCTTCCTTGGAGCCTCCTCTTTTACCTACCACAGAATGGAAGTATGCAGAGACAGAGTATGTTTAGGTCCTTCCTACTACTTGTACCTCCTTTCCAGTTTTAATAATCTTTTGTGGTTCTTACTCCATTTTGCTATTTCAGTATCCTTCATGGTCCTGCCAAATTACCTCTTTTAAAAACTTTCCAACTAGCCCTCCAGCTCTCGGTAGAGCTACGGCCTCAGCAAAAATAGCCACATCTCCCTTCTTGCCTTTCCCACATGCTTAACTCTTTCAGTTAATTCCTGAGCTTTTTGAACAACAGCTATCTTTTAGGGGGTTTGAGCAGAGAACACTATCACTATGATAATACATATTAGTCCACATTCTTTTACTAGCTCCCTACTGTGTAGAAAATATATTTAAACAGGATGAGTGGGAAAGTTATGGACAGAACAGATAAGAAATTTATCTTCACAGTCTTCTAAAATATAATTTCATCTTTCAGAACACAGTTCAACCAAGATTTGAGAGTTTAAAATACATATATACACGAGTGTGGGAATACACACAGAGTGGGAATTTTCATTCCAATAACAAATTATAGAAAACAAATCAAAACCACAGTCTAGTCTCTAGTCTTAATACCAGTGTTCTCTAACCATCTTTTCCTGATACCTCCAGATAATTCAGAATTCTCTTCTTTTATCAGTATGATCATAAACTTTAAAAACTCTCTTCCCGGATAGGTGCGGTGGCTCACGCCTGTAATCCCAGCACTTTGGGAGGCCGAGGCGAGCAGATCACAAGGTCAGGAGATTGAGACCATCCTGGCTGACACCATGAAACCCCATCTCTACTAAAAATACAAAAAATTAGCCAGGCGTGGTGGCAGGCACCTGTAGTCTCAGCTACTCAGAAGGCTGAGGCAGAAGAATAGCGTGAACCCGGAAGGCGGAGCTTGCAGTGAGCCGAGATCATGCCACTGCACTCCAGCCTGGGTGACAGAGCAAGACTCCGCCTCAAAAAAAAAAAAAAAAAAAAACCTCTCCTCCCATCACACTCTGATTTGGGAGCTGTTTTTAAAAATATTGTCATCTATATAAAACCCCAAGGAAATAAGAAGTACATCTTTTACTTAATTAATTTATTTAAATGAATTTTAATTTATTTATTTAAGGAGATAAATGACGGCTTACCCTCAGAAGCGTCCTTCACAAAAAAGATCCTGCCTGTCTAGTTAAGAAGCATAATGATAAATAGGTCATCACAGGTAACTTTTATCAGAGGATTCAGAGCACAACTGCCATAAGCCTTCACACAAAAACATGGCACTTATATTTAAGAAAACGATGGTGCATGACTGTAGTCCTAGCTACTTAGGAGGCTGAGATGGGAGTAGCCACCGGTCACTGAGCAGGACTTTCTCAAAAGACAAAAAGTGGATGTACAAACCTGCTGTTAGATACTCTTTCTGTTAAATGACCAATTCTGAGGGAAGAGTCAATCATTTTAGATTCAGTGCAGAAACGGGGAGGTGGAGTGGGTGTAGGGAACCAAAGCCAGAACGCATATGGACTTCACAAGTGCCAAACAGTAGTAAAAACTGTATCTCAACTCTTCATACTGTTCCCAGTGGTGAAAGATGGTCCTTTTCCACCTCACAACTGGCATTCTCTTTCACTACCTATGGTGCAGGCAATCCGTCAACATGTGACAGGGCAGGAAGCCGCTGGAACGAGAGTATGTGTCTAGCTCTCGCCTTTGGATGGGCTGCGCCTCACTCCAGAACGTTTTCTCCAGATGCTGCCAGCAGACACTCTGTAATACCTAAACCACAAATCATCACATTCCCCACCCTTTGAGCCAGGCCTTGTCCTTGAGCTTCCCACATAGCGAGATATTAACCAAGCTGGCCACTGATACAATAGTGCTTTACAAATTCAGAGAAATCTGCCACGCCAGCTGCTTGATACACTAAAAACTAGGTGAGCCTTATAATGTAAAAATATCCACTGTAGGAGAACCTCAGAGAGCCATGCAGGACATTTCAGACGTTTCACAAGGCACGAGTCCTGGCTAGCTTACTAAAGAAAATATTTCATCAGTGTAAACATGTCAGACATATGACGGGACCCAAAATTAGAGCAAATATGTTAGACATGAAGCCATCTTGCAGAAACAGAATGACAGGCAGGTCACTTCAGATTCATTTCCAAAATCCAGGAAAAGCTGCTTTTCCTCAGAAGAAGGAAACCATGCTAAATTTCTGCTGTCTGGTTGTTTTAGGAACCAATGTGGATTTTTAGTGACTCTCGAATTTTATCCACTGTGACACATTAAAGCCGTCTACGCTGAACAAAGCGTTTCCAATCTCTGATACCGTAACTTAGGAAAATGGCTGATAACACTATACTCACGCTGAAAAGGTGCCGCAACTTGATCCTGCACGTATCTTAAAGGGAAAGAACCTTCAGTGGACTGCTCTCCTGAAATCCCCTTCTGGGCTGGAAAGTACTTGGGCTTGAGCACATATTCCTGGGTCTGGCTATGGTGAATCATCACGCTCTGGGAGGAAAGGGGAGTCACTCTGGGAAGAAACAAAATAAAGAGAAGGAATTAAATAATGGACTTTTAAAAGTCAGCTAATAAGGAAAGGATAAGAAACGAGTTAAATATAGAAAGGAGCATCAATTCCAAGCAAGGCTCTTTTTTTTCCCTTCAAATATTGTCACTGACCACTCATGACATACAAGGAGGTAAATGACGGCTTACCCTCAGAAGCATCCTTCACAAAAAAGATCCTGCCTGTCTAGTTAAGAAGCATAATGATAAATAGGTCAACACAGGTAACTTTTATCAGAGGATTCAGAGCTGCCATAAGCCTTCACACAAAAACATGGCATTTATATTTAAGAAAAAGATGGTGCGTGACTGTGGTCCTAGCTACTCAGGAGGTTGAGATGGGATGATCACTTGAGCCCAGGAGTTTGAGACTGGAGTGAACTATGACTGCACCACTGCACTCCGGCCTGGACGACAAGAGTAAGACCCCATCTCTAAAAAGGGAAAAAAGACAAAGACGTTTACACAGACAGGTATATATTTAATAAGAGTGCAGCACTGGAAATGGGAAGGGGGAAAATAGGGAAGAAAGTACAGGAAGGGAATTATGCAAGAAATCCCCACCTTGATTAGTTAAGCAAAATCAATCATAAACAATTAAAGCCTGTATGATCCAGTGGGACCTTCTAACTCTGCCTACCACTAAAGGTTAGCTGGTTAATCTCTTTAAGCCTCAGTTACCTAATCTGTACTGTAGAATCTCTGCGACCCTGAGCTGAGAAAAACAGTGATTGTAAAAATCTGAACAAATGCAAGCTAAAAGAATAATAATTTTAATTCCCTTTTGAAATATAAATTACGATGCCGCTTTAGGGAAACAATTTTTTATGCTGTGTCTCATAATGATATAAATCATACTATTTGAGTTAAATGTGTTATAATTATACTCTCATTATCTTTTTAATAGCACGAGTCAAGACTTCTGGGAACTTCTGAACATGATTACTATGTGCTCATCCTCCTGGTCCAACCCTTGTTTTCTGTGACAGTTCTCTTCTACCACATCTAATTCATATTTTAAAATAAGCCTCTGCCCAGATTCAGTTATTCCCTGAGGAAGAGGAATGAAAAATATAAAGAAGATATACCAACTAATTCCAGAATATGCAAAATTGCTACTGAAATGGTTAGGACAGTGCATTTTTGCAGCAAGCTGAGCCTTTAGAAAGGAACATGCTCTCTAATGCAATCTGACCCAAAACACTGACCCTAAAGAGGGACTGACTATCTGCACAAGGGGAAGAAATGATGCCATGGCAGTTAGTGCAAAAGGCAAATTGTCAAGCCACCCAAAACATTGTATGGTGATACAATGTCTCATATCAAAAGCAGCAAAAGAAACGTTAATAGTCTCACTCTATTGGATTCGTTCTCATTGGAGCTGGTGAATGAGCTATTCCATAGGACAAGGCATCCATGAGATAAAAGAATAGAAGAGGCTAGAATTAGGGTGCTTCCCTCTTAGTCAGTAATCTGGATCTACCCCTTAAAATCCTGTCGTTTCAGGAGAGCCTGGAACATCTATTTTGGGCCTGGATTTTCCCAGATGCAGTACCATGCAAGGGCACTCCCTTTGTCACCAGACTAATGACTAAATTACTAAAAGCCTGAGGTTTAACATTGCGAACACTTTTGTTTTGATGATGTAAGTGTTGTTTTGAACATTAAGTGTGTTTGGTTGGGATAGAGCAGCAAGTGAAACAGCTGGACACATCTGGTAGTGACTGATAAGAACCACAAGTCTCTTCTATCAGCCTCTTGGAAACAGGAATCCTCCGCATCTCAGAAGCAATTTGCCCTCTGGCCATGCTGCCACCCTGTCACCATGCTACTCTGACCCACTGAGAGATGTACAGGCTAGCTCCTATTCAGGAAAGGAAAACCCAGCTTTCCTTTCCAGGAAACCTTGGGCTACTGCACCTAATTTGTGCCCCAACCACAGCCAGAAAGGTAAAAGTATGGGGTCCGCCTTCTACTTGAGGTTGTCTCTTGTCTCCCCTCTGAATCAAGGAAGCAGAGGACAAGAAATAAGCTGAAAGCATACATGTGGACGGGCCCTTTTTCCCTGAATGTAACAGAAAGGTAATAAACAAACAAGGTAAAACCAAGCTGTACTAGGTCTAGAACTTAAGTAACAGACCTCAGCCATCACTAACTTAAGGAAATCAGTAGTTAAGTGCCACTACTGTCTACATATTCCTCAAGTTACAAACACATTGCAAATATGGAGCTACACACAGCTGTCCCCACTCCCTTACCTTCTCCTGCCTCCCCCCATGACAGGGGTGCGTGCACAGGTACCCCACAGGCTAATGCCCCTCTGCCCCACAGCCCCACAGAGACAGAAGCAAGGCCATGGACAGGACCCCTGCTGAGGCAAGTAGAGGAAACTGTCCCATTACTCATCCTACAAGCATTATGTGAAATCACCACCCTACGCTCTCTTCTTCACCTTCTCCTTCATGGTTGGTGTCCACTTTTTCCTCTAATTTCATTATTCACAGTTATTTCCACTTCAGACCACCTTGCAGTCTTACAAATATATATTCTCTTTACTTCTTCCTTTCCTTCTCTGTTACCCTGAGTATTTCAGGAAAAAGTCTCTCTCCACTTAAATTGGGATTTCCTCCTCCCTTCTCTCTTCTTCAGAAAAAGAAAAGCTTTACTATCACCAGTGAACATCAAATTAGTTATAGCAATGTAACCGTAATTTTTTTAAATGGGGGACTAAATTTAAAAGAGAAAATTAGATTACAAACTGCAGAGATTCTGGTTCAAACTGGTTGGCAGGGGCACCCATATATTTCCCCTTCCTCCAAAGATATCCTTAAAGTTTCAGGTAAGAAATTAAAAAGATATAAATCCAGGGTTGATATCTAGCTATTATGCAATAGTACAGCCACATTAGTGGTTTAAAATATTTAAATACTCTGTACTGATGAAGCGCTACTATCCCAATGCCCTAAGTGCCCCTCCCACTGATGGATCTCCCTGTCCCATCCACTGGGCCCCCTAAGACATCTCCTCAATCCTATAAATAAAGAGTTAACCTTTGACAGAGTTGGAGAACTCAGGGTCTCTGCTCCAGCATCCCTTCTGATGGATCCAGACCTGTTCTACACAGGTTAATAAATACGTTTCATATCATCCATTAATAAACACACAAGAGACATTTCAACAAATCTGTAAGAGATTCAACATGCACCAAGAAACACTGACTGTTGTAATAGGGTGGAGCAAGCCATGGCCTTAAAAAATATTTTTCTAACTTCTTTCACCTCAACCCACAGTAAAAAGTACATTTTACAAGGAGAGCCAATCCATATCTACATATATGTCTGTGTTTTGGCATAACTAAAATAAATTTTACAAAACAGGGTTTACCCTTACGATGTGCAGGGCACCCTGATATGTTCTCTTCTAAGCTATTCTTTTTATATAATCTTGAGTCACTACATGTATTTCATGACTTCATGAGTTCCCTAATAGGTTACAACCCGGTAGTTCAAGGGCACTGGTCAGGAGTCACTGTGAAAGAGTACAGACACACAGGAAGCAGTCATCGCAGGGGACCACAGAAAGGTTAGGAATACTTAAGCCAAGTAAAGGGTGAAAATGAGATGTAGGGCTGAACAGTGTTATCTCAATTGAAAGCCTATATATGAAGACAATTGTTTTCCCCAACTCAAGCAAGGGAGGAGAAGTCAATGCCTGACTTCAAAGCTTCAAAGGACAGGCTGACTTTAGTTGGTGGCTGATGACTTTAAGTTGAAGCCAGTGCTCATTTACCATTCTCAAAATCCTAGGGCTCTTGAGAATTATGCTCAGATCATGCCACTGCACTCCAGCCTGGGCAACAGAGTGAGACTCTGTCGCAAAAAAAAAAAGACTTTCTACCAGCAAAAAGATCACATATGATTTGAAGGCTCAGAGGATCATGAGCATTTTCGAGCAATAAGATATTTTTAAATTTTAATTTAAAAATTAATTTCAATTTTAAACAATTAATGTACTTTTTTAAGACATAATGCTATTATATACTTAACGGACTAAGGTATAGTGTAAACATAACTTTTACATGTACTTGGAAACCAAAATATACATGTGACTTGCTTTATTGGGATACTCACTTTCTTGCGATGGTCTGGATGTGAACCCTCAGTATTTCCCAGTGTGCCTATAATGACTTTGGGAAGAAGGCTGGGGGACGGGGGGTGAAGTAAATAAGCTAAGTCTTCATTTACTAGAGCAAGACATTTTAGACAACATCTAAAGTGAATAAATGGAAACGGGGCCATATGGAGATAACCATAAGAACTAATAGGGCTTGAGGATCAAATGAGCAAAGGGGTGGGGACAGCCAGGGAACGAGTCCAGCAATTTGCAGGTTTCAAGCCCACTGGAAGGATATTTTTGGTTCAAAGCCGAGGGGAAAAGTAAGTGCGATGAGGTGTGCCGAGTCACGTCTGTCAGAAGAAAGGGCCACTCTATGAGAGGGCAAGAATGATTATGCCAGTTTAGAAACAGAAATGTGGGGTGGATCTCTAAGGAGAGGTTAGGAAAAGCCTCTGAGTTTAGGATAGTGACATTCTAGGAGAGGCCAACATCTTCAAATGCAAAAATGTTGCAGGAAGAACAATAGGGAGCCACAAGGTCCTGGAGGACACTCACACTTAATGGTAGGGACATAAAGAGAATATAGGAGGACAAAAAAGTCAGAAGAGGAGAAAAACAAGAATCAAGTCAGTTCAAAAACGGTAAGTGGAAGCAAGTTTCTAGGAGGAAGCGGGAGAGGATCACCTGCAAATTGCTGCAGAAAACCAAAGGAATAAGAAATCAGGAAAGGCCACCTGGGTTTGGTTGAAGGTCACTAATCTAAACGAACAAGGGCCAGAGAAATCAACAGTGTGGTGTTAGGAACGGTAGGAGCCAAAATATGACTGCATATTATGTGATGGGGAGATG